CTGGCCTCCCTAGGGGGGCTGGCTGGCCAGGAGTCCAGGTCACATCTTCAGGAGCCCTGTAGACGGCCTCACCGAGGCCCTGACCTAGAAGACAGCTACTGATTTGCTCCCCGCTGCCTCACGGCACCCCACACGTGCATCCCCTCACCCCACAGTTCCTTCCAGAGTCCCTGGACCCTGAGCCCGGTGCTACTTTCTGCTCAAGGCTCCGGGGCCCAAGCCATGCCTAGTAGATTGGTGTCCATCAGATCTGGTCCTTAGAGCTGCCTCCCCTACCCCCCACTCCCCCACCACACGCACACATACCCAGTTTAGGGAGGGAAGACCACACCTCCTCTGTGCCTGGAAGAGGTGCAAGGGCACTTCTCAAGCAGACAACGGGAAGCCTAGTGTGGCCTTAAGGAAGGACAGAGGGGAGAGGCTGTCAGAGGGCCTTGGGCCTTAACTGTAGCGTAGGCGTAACTCACACTCAATGGAAAAGGAAGCCAGCAGTCCCCTGTCACCGTGTATGCCTTCCCTCCGGCCCTGCTGGACTCCAGTGTCACACCCAGACCATGGCTTCTGGCCAGGACAGAAGGCAAAGCTCCCAAGAAAGCCCGTGGACCCGGTGGGGAGAGCTGACAGGGCCCCTTCCTTTCCTCCTTCCAGGTGGACCTGTACGTATCGGACCCCCTGAACTGCCGGGCAGGCCTGAAGGTGTCCTTCGGCACCCAGCTGCTCAACGCCGTCTCTCGGGTGGAGCGTGCCCTCCCCAAGCTGACCCTGCCCTTCCTGCTGCTCCAGGGCTCCGCCGACCGCCTGTGCGACAGCAAGGGCGCCTACATGCTCATGGAAGCAGCCAAGAGCCAGGACAAGACACTCAAGGTGAGTGTGTCCTCTGCCCTGCCTGCCAGGGAAGCAGGATGGTGGCAGCCCTTCCTGGACATCAGCCCAACCCCCCTGTCACACACACACACACACACACACACACACACACACACACACACACACACACACACGGTGGAGGGCGTGCCTGCCCCACTGGGAAGCAGATGCTAGATGCACTCGGCTGCTGGGATGCTCAAAGAGCACACAGTCCGTTGTAATTATTCCGAGTGGATGCACTGAAAGGGAATACGGAAAGAACAGCTGGAAGGTTTTAAGAGCAGGAAAGAACCCAGAGCTAGACACCGAACAAACCAAATCTGCTCAGAAAGGGTCCTCAGCTTCATCCCGCCCAGGACCCCAGGGCACCGGTTCTGGGCAGCTGTTGTAAGGGCTCTGGCCTGGCTGGTCAGAGAAGAATCTGGTCTGCCAAGGGAGTCTTTGCAAGAGCTGGGCCTATAGAGAGAAGGCCGGGGTCCGGAGCATGCACCATAGCAGGTTCCGAGCCCTGGGACACTAGGGTGGACAGTGGTGTTTGGGGCTGGAGCAGTGTTCCTCTGTCCGGTGGCACTAGGAACAGCTAGTGGGAAGGGAACTTACAAGGCAGGGATTTTTGACCCTGAAAGTGGCCCTTTGTGGTCCACTGGTCAGGTCACACCCCAGGGAGCGCGACCCCTCTGCGTGGGGAAGCCCTGGCCCCAGTGCCATTTCTCACTAGGTTCTATAGAGTCCTGGGGCCTCCCTTAAGGGACCCGTCAGGCCCAGATCTTTTATCCCAAGCCCGACATCCTTTGTGTCTCAAGGACACAGGAGTCCCCTCTCACGGTCCCCCATTTTGAGGTGACACCACCCCTGACCACCTGTGTTGTTCTTAATTGCAGATTTATGAAGGTGCCTACCATGTGCTCCACAAGGAGCTTCCCGAAGTAACCAACTCCGTCTTCCACGAAATACACATGTGGGTCTCTCAAAGGACTGCTGGGGCAGGAGCGGGGTGCCCAGCCTGAGCGCACTGGCCGACGACCAGGCCACGGTCTGGGGGAGTGGGCAGAGGAAGGGCAGGACGTGGTTTCTCAGATGAGGCTTGCCAAAAAAATCATAACGATCATCCAAAATTACAAGGACTCCCTAACATACTTTGGTTTAAAAAAAGAGACCTTCTTGGCTCTCCCATAGCCAGGAAGAAGAGGGAGGCAAGTTTCAGGAGAGGGAATCCACTGAAATGTCCTGAGATTCAGCCTAGTCTCTGGCCCGCCAGCGTGGCTCCAGCATGCCCCCTGTTCCTTGGGATTCCGGCTGCAACCATTTGATCCAATTGCTCATTAACCACCTGCCTCCCTAGCACCACTGAGTGGCCTCTCTGGCTATATGATGAGGGGCCTGCTGTCCCCAGAGGCCAGCACCTCAGGACAGACTCAATGCCCCTCCGAGGCCCAGAAAAACACCCGTACTTCAACCTGAGTGCCACCCGCTGCCCCCCCCCCTCCTGTCAGTTCCTTTGCAGCCTTACCCCGGGCCAGGGGAGGGGAAGAGCCAGGAACTCAGTCTTTGTCTCCATCCCTCTGCCCGCTCCCTCCTGGTAGAGCACCACTGACCGGGCTGTGTCCCCAGAGGTGGCATCCCTTGTTTAATCTTCCCCAACACAATGAGAGGAAAATTATATTGAAGAGGAAATGTTTAATATATAATGTATATCCTAAAGCATAGATTATTTTGCTGGGTGGGTGGGACCAGAGGAGCCTGAAGGAACTTCAGGTGGTACCTTCCGGCCCCACTGAAGGGTCTTTGCCAGGTTAGTACTCCCTGCCACCCCGCAACTCTGTCTTGGGTGGACGGATGGGGGTGAGGCCTGCTGAGGGCCCAACATGCTCCCATGTGTGGCTGCCTAGAGACGGGGCCACAGGCTCCTTTGCAGTTGCCCATGGTGCAGCTCCCCGGAAGGGTCCTTGAAGCTATTGCTGCTTCTAGAAGGAGCGCACAGGGCTGAGGGTGGGCAGAAGGCAGGAGCCCTGTGTGCAGGAGAAGGGCCAGGCTGCGCCTTTCCTGAGGCTGAGCACTCAGGGTGACCTTCCTGACCCAGGGGACTGAGAAGGGGTGCATGCAGCAGGGAATTGCAGCAAGAGCAGCCCCAGACCCCGACCTGGGCACCTGCTGCCCAGAGCTGCTGCAGGAGCCTGCAGAGCTGGGTGCACAGCTACCTCTGGTGGCGGGAGAGGAAAGTCCCAGTGCCCGTGTGCCCACTGCACCAATGCAAACCTCCTGCCTGGCTGGAGATGGCTCCTCGCCCCACCACGCAACCGCCAACCCCTGGGGCAGGCAATCCCCATGCCTGAGCACAGGCCCTGCCCGGCTTTTCTCAGGTGCCCACCCCACCCCGTACCCAGCCCCGCGTCCTTACAGGCAACAGCAATAAACAGGGTTCCCGGCCCACTGGAACTACTTCCACTTTGAAATGGGATTTTCGTTACCTCATCAGATGGATGCATGGCAAATAGGGCTCTGGGTTGGGAGCTGAGTTGCCCACTGCCAACCCCCACCCCTAGGTTTTTGTTCCCACCCAGTGTCAGAAAGCTGCCACCACTGCCCCAGCTAGTGCCCCTCAGAACATCCAGGAGAGCGCTGCAGGCTGGGCCAGGAAGCCCCCCTGCCCCTCAATACTGCCCTGCTCCGCTCAGGACTTCTCCTGGGCCCCTCGGTGAAGGTGAGTCGAGCCTGCGGCCCAGGGCCTGTGCTTCCCGGCCTCTGCCCTGAATGTGCCAACCCCAATCCACCCGGGTCAAACACCCAGGACCCAGGAGCCAGTTGGGCAGGGCTTGGATGCTGTCCAAGCAGGGTCCCCACAGAGCAGTGTCCACAGCTCTGCTACATTTCTCTGGCTCCTCTAGAAGGAGATACATATACTTAAATGCATTAAGAAAGGTCAACCCTGCTGGGTAACTGCTGGGAATTTCTGCTGCTGGACTCAGGAGAGGCAGAGCTCCCGCTGCACCCCACCTAGCACCCAGCTCCACATCGCCCCCCACCCTCCACACTCTGATGGCACTGGCCCAGCCTCCTCCAAAGGCCCCTCCCAGGACACAAGTCTGCATCGTTCCCCATGAAGTCCTGCACGGGGTCGGCTGCGTGAAGTGGGAGCTTTCAGGCGGCACAGGCCTGTTCTGTCACATTGACTGTCCGGCTAACGTATCATCTCCATTAAAAGAAGAAAATCATCAGAGATCGGGACTGTCTTGGCCCGGCCCGGCCCACTGGGTGCGTGGCCACGTGCCTGCAGCTATCATGGTCACTTCGTCCCTTTGCAGGCTGTGTGGGTCTGACCAGCAAGGCTGGCTATACACGGGAACCTGAGCTTGGTAGGTTGCACCCCACCAGTCTTGTGGAGGAGAGCAAAGCCAGGGGCCTTAGAGGAAGAGGCAGTTGACCCCAGCTCCTTCTGGGTGCAGAGCCCCAGTAATAGGGGTTGTCCCATCCTTGGATATGGATACAGCACCTTCTCACACCAGGCTCACCAGGCAGGAACGGCTTCCCGCTTGGAAACCTGCCTGGGGAGAGATGCTGCCTTCAGCCAGTGGCGGCTTCATAGGGGTCCTGTCCACCCCACCTTTGTAGGAAGGAGTGGAGGGTGACCCACTTCCTCTTGCTGGCCCAGCCCTTTGGAAACACACCTGAAAGCCCTGCCTGGTGGGTGAGCCACCTGCCCAGCTCAGCATCCCATCCAGGGCCCGCTAGCTGGCTCATCTGTTTCTTTCTCCCTCGCTGACTGCTAACATAGTCCTATTAAGAATCACCACAATTTCCCAAGCAATTTACCAGTTTGTAATTGTCACGACAGCTCTACCATGTCCCTACATGTATGCTGTGCATGGGGGCTATGTCTATCACTCTAAAACTATAAAGGGACCAATGTATGCTACAGTTAATCCTAAATAAACCAGATGTTTTCTGAGTGTTGTCTTTCTGTCTGTCTCCACTGGCCAGCCCCCAGGTCTGCTGTGAGAACAAGAGGCCTTCTGTTGCGCTGACTACACAGGGGTCCTTCCTTCATCCTCCCTCTTGGATGCCAGGGGTCAGGCTCTCTTGCTGGCTCCTGCAGCTTGGAGGAGGGGTGGAGGGCAACACCTTACACTCAGGTTCCAGAGCTCTAGCCTGGGCTGAGTGCGTCCCTGACTGCCCACGTGGAACCAACACCACACCTCCACCCTCTCCCTTGGCCCCACATGAGATCCATCGGCAAATCCTGCCAGTCCAACCTCAAGTACTTCCAGAATCTAACTATTCTTCCCTGGCCCCGCTGCCTGGGTAGCCTCAGAGGTCACTGGCCGCCTCTTTTGCTTTGTTCCCACATGGCCACCAGGGGGCGCGGTTCGTTAGGAGCCAAGCTCTGCTCCGTCCAATGAGACCCCTACCCTCTCTACTCCACTGCCAAGGTCATTTGGCTCTGCCCCTTCCCACACCCCATCCAGGGTGCTTCCTGGCCAGGCACTGAGCCTGGCACCAGAAGAGGCGACGCAGGGCCAGTTTCAAGGCTGCAGGGCCCTGCACTTAATGCATATAGAAGGGCCTGTGCTGGCAATAAGGTTCTACTCCTGTCTTGGGGAGGTGCCCTGGTGGTGGAGTGGTTACAAAATGGGCTGCTAATTGCAAGGTCATCAGTTTGAAACCAGCAGCAGCCCCACGGATGGTGAGGCTTTCTACTCCCATAGTTACAACCTCAGACATTCACAAGGGCAGTGCCACCCTGCCCCTCACGGGTCACTCTGAGTTGGCAGCAACTCGATGGTTGAGAATTACTAATACTTTTGAATGAGGGGCCCCACGGTGTCATCTTGCTCTGAGCTCTGCAACTATGTAGCCAATCAGTGCGGTGACCAGGGCCCACTGGCCCTCCCCTTAAGGACCCAGCCTTGGGTGGACAGACAGAAGGTTGTCTGTTCTCTCCAGCGTTACAGCCTATTGACACTGAGCGGCATCCATCCTCTCGCCCATTAACGTTCCAA